TATATATATATATATTATTTATGATATGCCCATAATATCTAGTGTTGAAGAATTTATTGTACATATGTTAACTTGTTCTGAATATTTATATATTATTTTGAAAACAAGTGAAGTGCGTGCTGTTTATTCATCATTGAATTTATCACTAACAAGTCACAGACACCTACTGTAGAAGAATCCTAAGCCCAACAACAACATAGTATATATTTATACTATTAAGAAATATAACTAAAAGCTTTTCTATTTAACAACTAACAAAAAGAAAAGTTATATATATATATATATATATTATATTTTAAATTCTGACAGTATCAAATATCCTTTAGTGACAAATTTCAGTTTTAAGACATTTCCCTACAATGGATAACATATCTTATAATTTAACCACTAACCACATTAAAACTGCACTTTCAATTTCAAGATATGTGTTTATGTGTGGAAGACAGCTAATTCTAATCTGGCCATAAGGGAAGTGTAATTCAATGTGATGAAATATGTTTCCTACTATAGTTTACACTATTACAAGCTTACAAAAATAAAAATTTTCATCTAGATGGACAGCTAAGCAACTTGAAACACTGTTCTCCATAAGAAAAAGAAAAAATGCCACAATACATTTTCTGTTTGTTATTAAACTAAAATCATAAATAATTATTGTATTTTGGCACTTGTGTATAAAGATAAAATCATAAGTAATATTCAACGTTAAAACTGGTACACAATTAAAAACATTTTATTTAGGCCTATCTAAATTCACGCTAAACCATTCAAAGAAGATCAATCCACATTCTTGCAGAAATATTCGTCATACTTTCATCTCTATTTAATACTACATGATCTTTTTTATATTTTATTATTTCTAAGGATTCTCGAATATTATTACCTATTATACTTTTTGGTTGAGCTACTATTACAGTGTTTTCCCATAATATTGTGTGTTGCGTTTCCTGTACATGTTCTGCTATGGATGACTTTTCAGTTTTTTATTTTTTACATATTCCTTATGCTCATTTAAACGGTATTTTAATTGCGTTTTGTCTGACCAATGTAAATACTTCCACATTCACATTCTATTCTATACATTCCAGTTTTTCAGTTAACTGTATTTCGTCTTTAGTAGTACATAACATTTGATTCATCTTATTTATTAGTTTAAATATAGGGTAGAATATCTGTTGTTTTTTAAATACTTTAAATAAACCAGTAGTTAAACCTGGAACATATGGTTAAATTAAGCCTTCCTTTTAATTATATCATAACTAGGTTTTAAAGTACTAATTTGATCAATTTTTATAGCATTAATGAATTTCTTAACTGCCCTATCCATAATATTTGGATTAAAACCTCTTTCAACTGCTATATATTTAATTAATAACAATTCGTTTTTTAAATCCTTTTGGTTAGTACATATCTTCAAAGCTCTGTTAACATAACTATGAAACACAGACATTTTTTGTGACCTAGTAGGATATTAAACTATTTTATCCTAAGAGAGGCCCACAAATATAAAGTCAAAATATCATCAGCAATAAATTGAGAACAATTTGATTTTTTGTACATAATCTAACCTTCCTGAAAATCATAGAAATAAACAACTATATGTAGAAAAATAGCTTGCTTTAAAATTCTTAAATGATTTCACAAAATTTGCTTGGAGTCAGTTCACATGCCTAGAAATGTAAAAGCTACCCAATACCATCTTTATTTATGTAAGCTATTAACAAGTACAAAATGATAATAGGACATTTTCATAATACTAAACCTGTACATATAATAACGTTAAAAGATACATAACTTTCAAATTAATTTGTTTTTTCATCTAACACTCCTACTAGACTGAAAAAATAATTGTGATTCAGTAAAACAAAATCCGAAAAAAAATATAATCTCAATATTATTTAGATAAGCAACATTAAAATAAATTGCTTTATTTTAATAGAAAATATACTTACCAACATCAAAAGCTTTAAACTCTACACAATATTTGCCATTTTGTAGATCCACAATCCGATTCTGAATGTCATTTTTTGAAGGGCCTAAAATATTATACATCAACAATTTACAAACACCTTGACATACTCATGTTACAAAATTTCGTAATTCAAAAGCTGTTTTATTCTATTTTATTGTACAATGGAAGAAAACTAAGATTAAATGTTGTTTCTCATTTAATATTTAGTTCAACAATGAAATTTTAAAAAAATTTACCCAATTTCTGTTGAATTTATGGAACTGATAAACAATATAATGAGAGATAATTTTCGAAAAATACATTAACTTTAAGAAAAGACTTTAGCTATCAAAGGATATTCTATAAATTGTCCATACAAGTTATTTTATGTATTTCAATATCTTTGAAATTTCACATAAAACTGCATATTTTAAATAATAATTTAGGCTAAATAACCTGTAATTGTGACAGAAATATCCTCTTTCTTAAATCCAGGTGCTGAAAGTTCAAATGATTCTGAATGACCTGCAGCAAAAGAATGTAAGCTTTGTCCTTTAACAGCCAATTGCTTCTTTGGATCAAAAACATCACATCTCCATGGGGAACCTACAAAAGGTAAAATATATATTCTTGATATCATATGATTTTATTTTAAATCAGACAGTGTATTCAGAAAGTGAAAAAAAAGCATTATTAACACATCAGCAAAATTGACAGAAAGTAAAATATTCCTGAGAGAATCATGAAGGCCAAGTAATATCCCCTCTGTCAAGAGAATATTAAATTTTATAATTAAATATGTGTAATTTAAAGAGGATATTTTTAAACTAATAGAAGACCAATTACATTTAAGTGGTAGAACATGTAAGACTGAAGAGGACTACAAGAATAATATTGTTGCGTCAGCGGGGCAATGAGTAATTGAACTGCAGTCAGAGAGTGTGTAATTGAACTGAGTATTGTTGAAGTTGAGCATGTGAGACGTTCGTTGTTATAGCGTTTGTTATAGCGTGACTTTTGAAATTAAGTGTATCGCAAAGTTATATTCAGAAAGAATAAACTAGTTTTATTTAAGAAAGGACTTGTGTCGCTAAAGTTTCGTTGGAACGAAGTTACGGAAAATTAACTAACGAACAGAGAGTAACAATATGAATAGTGATAAGAAAGGAAAAAATATTTAGAAATAAAATATGTTGTAGCAGTAACAAAATATTTTTATTCGTATAACTTTCCATTTAGAAGAATGGTATAAAAGACGAGAACAGAGCCAATATTGTAACTGTAATGGATTAAAGGTGGATTTTGTATTCCTGTATTAAACTAGGTTAAAGAATGATAAACTAAAATGGAAATTTAATTCTGGAGAGGCATGGAGATGAGAATTAATATAGGGAATAAAATTAAAAGGCAATAATGTTTTGTATACTGATGATGAGAAGTAAATGAGACAAAGTAATTATTAAAAGGAAGATTACAGCAAAGAAGAAAATATTAAAGAAACAATAGTACAAAGTAATTTGAATTTAGAAAGCATTCAGAGAGTTTAAAATGTGCAAATAAAGATGGTAAATCAACTTTCAGTTAATATTATATTTTTCTTGTAGAAATGGCCACATATGTGCTTCAAAACACTCAAGTTTTAGATGTTCCTCATTTAAAGGACCTGTTAGAAAAAAAAAATCCTACAAAGCAGGTGAGTAATAGAATATTATTTGAAAAAAAAATTAAATATTTAAGTTTAATGTTTTCACAGATGGTTAAAAAAGATATTCTGCTAGACATTTTATGAATATATTTTATGAAGTAAAGAAACTTTTAATAGGAATAAAACACCATAAATTCTGTGTATAACAGTATTGTATTAATGTTTCAAAAACAGTCAATGATTATTTAATCTTACATTGTAATTAAGCTTTAAAGAAAGGAAAATGAGTAATTATAAGAAACATAGTTACGAAAAATTAAATTATTACAAACAAAGATAATGAATCTTCAGAAAACTCCTTAATTATTGTAAACTTTAGCATTTTTTCAAAACGTATTTATACTATTCATCTAAGGCTTTTAGAAGAAATCAGATACTAAAAAAAAGAGTAAAAATAACTGTTAATGCCAGAATTGACATTCAGAATAAAAAAAAGTTTTAATGATTTGACAGATAATTCATTTGGAATTCCAAAAGATTTTATACTTTGGAGCTGAAAACTATAAAGTTAAAAAAGTCTGCATGTTAAAAATGTTTTTTAAAGTGATGACTAACAACTTAATAATGATATAATTTAAAATAAAATTAACTGTTTAAAAAAGACCTTAGGACTTTAATTTACATATCATTGTTAAAGTAATCCAAAACAGTTATACTACAGCAAAATCAGGTACTTCATGTACTGAAGTTAACAATTTTAAGTTCAAATTAGAATTGAACATTATTGTACTTTCTTTAATAGATAATGTTCTGTAAATTTTCTATTCTAAAACTCTTGATAATTTTATTTATTTTTATGGGTTGAAATGACAGTAATTAAACCTCAGGGTTTTTTACTAGGAACTATATGTATGTCTGTGTATATAAAATAATTGTATAAAAATTATGGTTATGATAAAAAGTAAGTTAAACAATTTTGAACAGCATTTCAGAACTAAAATAATTTATTAATATAGAGATATACAAAGAATGGTAAATGTTTTTATTCACACTTATGTTGTAATTTAAAGATTAAAAAAATTTTGAGCTCTTATTTATTGTATGTAACCCTTTGTTTTAAGAAATAATAAAAAATTCCAGATTTTTGGGGAAATTGTAGCAGACATAAAGAATTCTTTTGGCTTGAGAATTTACCATTGTCAGGAATACAAACAAGGAAAATAGTTTCTTTTTTTACTTAATAACTCATTAATCCTTTAATATATGGATATACAGATGTGGACTTTTTCTTTAAATCCCTATTTTTTATTGTTGAGCTTGGACAGGTGGTACAGTTTAAGATAGAGGACACATTACAGAGAAAAGCACATGAAGTAATAGCAATCTTTTGGAAAAATAAATAAAGCTACTAATTAGCTACTTTTTTATGTAAATAATTACCAATTACATTTAACTAACTGAAACACACTCAGCCAATCTAGCATAGAAGTCAGGAAAATACATATACCCCTCTTGAAAATATCCGTATAGTTAGTCAAATCAACAAGTCCTCAGTATATGAATAGTACATCTGCCTTTTAAACAAAAAATTCTCAGTTTCAAATCTTGGTTTCTACCACAACAGCAAACAGTTCTTCTGAGGGCTCCCCTGAAGATGGCAGGAAATTAGCAGTAAATGTATAGGGTAAAACATTTTTGGCAATTAGTTGCTATACAAAAAAGTAACTATATGCTACTAACCCTGACAAAAATTATATCCAATAACAACAGCCTTACAACAGTTAACACAGGGGAATGGGGAAGTATTTGCAGGAAAAGTGGCACATCATTCATTGAACAAAACTCAATGACTATATTTAAGAACATTTACCAGAAAAAGGGAAGAATTAATATATAATAGCTGTACTGTAATATAACTTAGTTTAAAAGAGAAAGCATTCAGATATATATATATATACATGTATATATTCATATGACAAAATTAATGCAAGTGGATAAGGTATAATTTGTCGTAGTGAGCTTATTGAAAAAAAATATTGTAAACTGTTACACACATTATGTTTGACTGTCACATTTCCTCACTTTGTTAAGGTAGTAAATTTAAAAAATAGATTTATTTTTTAATTCTAAAATGAATATAAAATTCTGGACAAAAGAAAGATTTCAATGGAAATTTATGGAAGACAAGAATATATGTATATATAAACAACTATTAAATTTTACATTATTAGTTAGAGCAATATGGTGAACCAAACATATTTTACCCTTGATTTCTGCATTTCTATTTATTTTTTATTCCAAAATATAAAACTGAACTACACTGCTTGTAACATATTAAGCCTATGTGAACGGGCGGGGGTCAAAGTACACTTGCCACAATCTTTTACATACTACCATTCAACACAGTATTACGTATTTGATGTCATGATTATCAACTATTCATTTTATCCTACATTGCTGAGTTAGCAACAGTTTGTGGTAGAGGAGAGTAAATACCAGATACAATATACAGAAATATTGAACAAAAACTGTAGGTATGTATTTCAGAGGTTCTAGAGATCATGCAAATGCAGTATGCAAGCTGTACAATGAACAAAAGTAGTTTTATTCTCCACATGAATGTCACCTTGCACTCTGGCTTCTCAAAGTCTGAGTCAGATTGATGTTCTCAGTTCACAGACATATCTTGAATGCAAATACTTTTATAATGAATCTGATTTTAGTGTACAAAAGACTTGTGCATTTTATGTACTCCAGAACTTCAGCAATCACAGAGTCTGAGAACTTACCTGGGACAGATTCTCCATTGAACTTCATTTCAATAGTGTGAGTAGTGGCAGAGTGAGGGATGAAGGAAGCAAGGAAATGGTGATTACCCAAATCTTTCACTTCACTAGTTACATGGCCTCCATTTACAAGAATTTCTAAATTTCCAGAGCCAGCATCAGCACCACTGACTAAACAACAATAAAAATCGATCAAATATTAATAAGTACTTGTAATTTACCTTTAAATAAAAACTATGTGGGGTTATATTTTAAGTTAAAATTAAAAATGCAAAAAAAAAACTATGCTGATGAAAATTATTTTAATAAATGTAACTTGATGGACTAGTGAGCACGTGTATCAGATCAACTTATGGTTAGAGCAGTAAATGCTCTATACTTTACTATTGAGTTTTTACATAAATAATTCATTAACTACAACCCCAAAACTCATTGGGAAAGTTGTAAAAATATAATAATTAACATTATTTACGAGTTGTATGTTTTGTAAATACTTGTGTATATAGTTGTTATTAATAGTATATATAGGTGATACTACAGAACAAAACTATAACTTAATAATAGAAATGATACAGTGAATTACTTACTCTCAAATTCAACAGCTTTTCCAACAAAGCCATTTGGCACATTACCAACTTTTATTTTTGTAGCATCAAAGACATCACAATGAAATGGACTTCCTCTAATAACCTTTCCTGCAACTTGAATCTTGATTGTGTGTTCTCCAGCTTCTGATGGGATATATTCCACTTGATATTGATTGTGACGCATTTTTTCAATTTTAAATGGAAGTTCCTTGCTTGAAGGAGCTACAAGTTAAAAAGAAAATTGAAGGTCTGACAAATAGGTAAAATTATTTAACTATTCTGTAGTGAAGAGCTTGTTCTTGGTACTGAGAATGCTGTACTTTATCTTTTTATCCAAAAACGTATTCACAGATGATGTTTAAATAAGTTTTACATTATGCTACCACTAAGTTATGTCTTAATAATAAATAACACCAAGAAATCTATACAACTCTGAATGCACAAATTAAAAATGTGAAGACTAGATGATGCATCTATACCTATAATTGTTATACTAATGTCATCTTGATCAATTCCTGGGGCACTTATTAGAAAAGCTGAAGGCCTTTTCACTGGAACCATTTTAAGACCATGACCTTTCACTGCAACTTGTCTCACATCAACTTCTTTCTTCTGCTTTTTTGAAGAGTTGCTGAGATTTGAAGTTGTTTCCATTACAAATGTATGCTGAGAATGATGATCTACGTTTTCTTCTCTTTCATATCTCATGTTCCTTCTAACACCCAGGTCATTTTCAGAAGATGATGAACTAGAACTACGTTTCTGGTCAATCAGAATCTTACTTTTAGCTTTTGGAACTACTTTTTCATCACCAAAACGAGACTCAGCTATTCTTCTCTCACCACTAACATTCAAACTGGATTGTTTATCTCTGAAATTAACCTCAGTATAACCTCCAACTGTTATTTCTGGTCTAGTGGTAGTATTCTTCTGTTTATACACTGATTCAGGTTCTCTTTCTTTAGACAAATAAGTTTTATCTCCATATTCATGAGCTGAAACCCAATGCGATGTCACATTCTGGGAATGGTTCAATGCAGATGATTCAGATCTATTTTCTTTACTAAACAACCCAACAGGTGAATCACGGGAAGTCCAGTTTCTAGTAGTAACTTCAACTTTAGGAGATTTTTCTAGTAGTGGGGAAGAAGGTGATGGTGATTTAATTCGTCTAATGTCTTCTCTTGACTTTGTTCTCTTGTTATGCAAGTCTTCATAAGAACTAGAAAGAGCCTGGGTATCTTCCCTAAATGAGGACTTTCTCCCTAACTGAAGATCTTCTCTTGAGTAAAACTTGGCAAGACCAGTATCTTCTTTTGATGAAAGAAGAGCTTTGTTAACCATCCGGGCACGTTCTTCAAATGACAGTTCTGTACCTTCACGCTCTATTGAGGTGTTTTCAGCCTGCTGGGGTTTTTTGATGTAAAAGGTTTTTGAATGAATGTTGGCTTCTTGTTCTGTATTGGATCTTGGTTTAGATATCTCTCTGGTCAATGTAGTTACATATGTGCCAGAATTCTGATCATGGTGAGAAACAGACCAACTATCAGCTTTGTGTTTTCTGGAGAGCCCACTTCGACTACTATCAGATTCACGCCCAGAAGATGAATCTTGCTTTTCAATTCCAGAACTTCCAATGTAAATGGAAAATGGTGAACCTAAATATCAATAATAAATTATGACCAGTCATTTCAGGTACATTTAACTCTCAAAAGGAGTTTAACTTCAAGAAAAACAAAAACAATTCTTTCTTGGCATGTTCATTTACAAGGAATTCAAATAGAAAATAAAAATTTCATGTACAATAAGAAAATACAGCATTGACTGACAATAAATATTTTCAAAACAACCATTTATTTTTTTTGTCTAAAAACTATTTCATTAAGAAATAAAAATTATCAATGAGCTTTACTTTGTAAGAATGCTTTTAGTTATTGATCAATTCAAGGATATGATTTTAAACTCACTCCCAAAAACTGCAATATAAAATACACACATATAGTAATGGCATAAATAACATATGAAATAAAATACCACAACATAATTAACTTCTAGTTAAAATTATGATACCTTTCATTTCATTGTCATACACATCTACTTACCAAATGTTCTTTATTCCAAGCTCTAATAATCACAGGGTATAAGGAGACATATAGAAACAGACAGTATGAGAAAAAATAAAAAATAAACTGCTTAGCAGGCAGCAAACATACAGCAATAAAAATATAGATTAGAAGAAATAGTGTATTATGATAATAACTACTACGGAATTAAATTTTATGTTTATATTAAGTTGTCAAGAAATTAATGTCACTTGTTTTTAGTTGAAAAACCTAGTAACAACTTATA